TGATCAAATAAATCCAGATTCCTGGTCCTAGGCAACAGCTGGATGGCAGAAAAACCAGATTTGCGGATTTTGCAAGCCTTTGTTCAGATTTTCGCGAGCGAATGACGTGACCATGGCAAGTTCAACTAGTTCAAAGCAGTATAAAAGACCAAGGTCTGTCCTAATACACTTTACCGAAGTGCCTTAGAACTTTGCCTACCAGCGGGACCGTTATGTACCACCAAACTTGATGAAATTTTTCTGAGGGCAGGAATGCCCGCTCGTAGACCTCGTTTTACACTTGTGACAGGTCCATTGCAAAAAAGGGTGCACGTGGCTTCCTAATCGTGCAATATCGGTCATCAATTGAGTTCTGCTGGTAGTCTGCAGATTAAGGCCTTCCCACAGTTTCACTAACATCATGGACCCAACTAGCCATGAGTCTATCTGTTGGAAGCACGGCTTGTCGACGAAAAGAGCTCTGCCGCAAGTAACAATAATTAATAAGATTCGTTTGAGAAAGGAGTGAAACGGACCATGTTTTTTTCATAGGTTATTTTGTTTCCATAACCCTTTTCTTTCTTGATAACCCATCAGTTAGTCAAAGTAGTTCCCGGTAAAGATTTTGTGGCGAGCGCTAAATCAGGAGTACTCGAGATCGCTGCACTCCTGCTTCAGCACTCATCTCAGTTTCACTCCTAGGAGGAACTACTGACAATCCAACATCCACCTGGAAAAGGGAGAAATTCCGTGATACTTATATCGTATTTTACAGCTAATCCGAAAAATCGTGCACCCAACCAAATGTTCCTTCTTCCTAACAGTGTTGCTTAATATTGTGCTGCCCCGAAGGCCCATCAGGAGATCAACGTTGTATACACAAAGAGGCATCAAAAATTTATTCTTGAAAGAATTCCAAAAGTCCAAAAAGAACTCTAATATTCCGAAAATCAGATCAAAAAGCGCTTTTGGAAGTTTCCGCGGTATTTCGATGTGAAACTCCTTCGTCAGGCGTGAATTATTTTGATTATAGCTGATATAACGGTTTTTGATGGTTCTCCAAACCCACGTAGATGCACACATGGCTTTGCCTCGGCTATAAGCACCTCTTGAGGGATTAGCGCCGTTAGGGAACCCTTTGCTAAATATACTGAATAGTAGCGGACACAGGTAATTTTTAACATCAGGTACTTCGACGGTCACGGTACATGATGCTAAAAATGCGGCAGTGAGCGAGTAGTTAATTTATTAATTGTGGGTTGTCATGCAGTTCATCCTTCACTATTTAGTTTGGGTTATAGCATTCTTATTTCCAAGGCCCTCAATAATTTCTTTTCCACGGGTTTTCTATAGAGCGGTATAACACCTTACAAGGGAGGTCTTTCGGGGCAAGCCGCGCATTTCCAAAACGGTTTCTTGCATGCTGTGGCGGTCTCGCGTGGACTACAAATCCGTGTTTCATTTTCGCTGAACGGTCCCCTTCTGGCGTTACAACTTTTTTCCGCCATATTCCAGCTAAACTCTGAGTTTGATAATTACCGGTGGCCCTGATAACGAATATGATATCTAGTTTTTGCGCTGGTGCTATTTTGGGAAAATTTGGAAGCTCCAACTAAAATGCAAAAATTTTGTCCTCCATGTGAGCATTGTCAGGACCATTCGCCACCATTTTTGGCTTCTCATGCGTTCGGCGTAAAATTGACTTTGTTCTGTAAGCTCGCATATTCCTATGCCATTGCAAAAAAGAACCGTTTTGAGAAAGGCACAGCTTTGCCCTGACGGCCCCCTTGTTATACCACGTAGGTGTTCCCATCCAGCGTCCGGTTTGTACAGTGCATTGAAAAGTTACTGTTAGGGTATTAGGGTGTTTTACAAGCCCCTCTGTGCGTTGAGGTGCTTCTTGAGCATCTTCTTTGGTTTTATTTGACTTGACCGAATCCGACGGCGCCCAATGCAGGGTCAAATGCATTCCACCTAATTCAAAAAAATATTGCAATCTCCTGTCCCATCATAGTGAAGATTAGGAGACGTCCACCCCCTAGCATCGCACGTGAACAGAATAACCAAAAAACACGATCCTCCAGATGGCCAGTGAATTTGCGTGACTCGGCAGACTACGTTCCCTGAACCCAAAGCGAGATTTCCGAGCAAAATTGTGCAGTGCCTTTGTTCATCTTTCAAACACCTCCAACCACCCTAAGGCAACCCTTTCTGGATATACCAAATTCGTACATTTATGATATAGTTCAGTAGCGAAAAGAGAGGAGTACGTAACGTTTGGAACGTGCCATCTTCCACAAAAAAATACTGCAGAATGCACATCGCAGTGTTAGTGCAAATTCTCGGGAAAGTACTTGTTCGGAGATTGCAGGCTGCTCAATCGGCTCTATGCTAAGTTGAGTGCTTTAGAGCGCCTTGGAAATTATTTTGACATCTTAGCTCTTAGTTATGTTCATTTCTGCGTGCATTTTGTTACAGGTACTAATCGAAATTTTTCCCTATTATCTCATCTCTTTTCCGTTTTTCATTGGTTTCTGTTTACCTGTTTTTTTTTTTCTCTCTCAACATGGGAGACACCTGTGTAGTAAACAAGCATAAGTACAAGTTTGTGACGTTGATTTTTCCTTTGTTCAGATCCATTAAAATAAGAAGCCATTGCACCTATTTATTTTCGAATAAGACAAGCTACAACACCAACAATCCAGGTGGATGTCTTCAGTGGCTACACAAGACGGAAGCCTTATCCATTTGTAGACATATGGTTGGCAAGACGTCCACTTGCGATATGATGATCCGTACCAACGGTTATTATCTCCATACGGGTTATTATATCCATTCGGGTTATTATATCCATACGGGTTATTATATCCATTCGGGTTATTATATCCATTCGGGTTATTATATCCATACGGGTTATATCCAGTGTTTGGTCCATATCCAGGTCCAAATCCACTGCCGTAAGGATTATAAGGATTATATCCATTTCCATTGCCGTAGGGATTATAAGGATCATAAGGATTAGATTTGGATTTCCCGTCGGGTATCCTTTCATCCCTCCTCCTCCACCACGGGCACATAATACACCTAGTTTTGGATCCATCTTTTCGACCGGCCTTTCCTGAAACAGCAGTAAAAATAACTAAATAAATAAATAAATAAATAACAGCAACAAAGAAAAATAAATGGAAGTTGAGTTGATCCGTTAGTGTTATCTTACTACTCTCGAAAGAGTCGTGATTCACATTGAAATATGTATTCCCTTGAGAATTTCTATTTGTTCCCTCTAGGGAAACCTATGAAAATACGCCTTCTCCCACACCAGAAGCTCTTCGTAGGTATAGGTAAGAGTAAATCGTTTTCGTTTTTATCAATCATCTACCCTTCTTGCATAGACTCAGATAGCTCAATAGAGACGCGTTCTAAGAAGCATAAAATGCTGGCAAGGAATGTTTCTAACAAGGGCGTCTTTCTGGCCAAGCCACGCTTTTTCAAAACGTCCCTGCATCTAGTAGTGACGCATGTAGGGAACACAAAACCACGTTTCGTTCCCGCTGAATGGTTCTAACAGTACCAAAAAAGAAGATAAGCTACTGTCAATGGTGTCGATCCCCCGTGGCGACTAAATTTTGCATTTGGGCTCGCCATACAGGATGGTACCAAATCGCGCTAAATGACAAAATTAGATGTCAAATTCTCGGTCAGACCATTTTGAAGCCAACAAGTGGCCGCCAACCTTGATTGCAAAAATTTAGTCGCTCGCAGGGGATTGACCATCAAGAGTATTATTCACCACTTTTTTGGTACTACTAAAACCGTTCAGCGAAAACGAAACATGGTTTTGTGGTCCATACATGCGTCCCTACAACATGTACTAAACCGTTTCCAAAAAGCGCACCTTGCCCTGAAAGACCTCCCTTGTAAGTGACCAGCATACAATGCGGCGTGGAATATTTCACAGAACCCTTGTTGCAACCCGTCGTAAATAGTCACCCTCAGGTTTGGCAGTCAAGAGATCCTATAGAGCGATAGCGATATTTTTCGGGAACGTCCCGAGTCTGCGCTTCACCTTTACAGAGTATTTTAGACAAGCACATTTCCTAGTAACTTGTAATTACGTAGTGCTCTGGTAGTCAGACAAGTTTATAATACAATCCCTCTGCGGAAAATCTCTATATATGTTTTATGGGTGATCATGAGTAAATGCCGGTTTTCATCATACCCAGGCATCTCTTCCCGCAAACAATGTAGAGGTCGTTCTCCGCAAAGACTCTATGTGGCGACCTCAGTGTCCTTTCATATTACGAAATTACTCGTAAGTAGTCGCTTTAGAGAGAAATATGCCCTCCTATTTCAACACATGTTCCTTATTGTCTATTTTACGATAAAATTATGTTTTGTACAAAAGAAGTTGCTTTATGATAAAATAATTATGTTCTGTACAAAAAGAAGTTGAATCAAATTGATCCTTTTCAGTATTATCCTGATTACGATATTTTTAACCGAAATTTTTAAATTTGACATCATTCTTCAAGCCTGTTTATTTAAAGGGGGGGGGGCGAAGGAATCGTTCAGTCTCTGCTTCGCACGTGACCCTTAGACGGAGACCGGACAAATATGGTCTCCTCCCTCTGTGCCCTCCGTTTGTGAAGGCTGTCCGGATATTAGTGAATCTGGAGGACGGGACCCGATAAAAGAGAATATCTGTTGAAAGTGGTTCAGGAAGCTTCGTCAAGCGACTACGGCCCTGAAGACCAACCATGTTTCGGACACCCAATGACCGTAGATATTGAACGCATGCAAGAGCTTCTTGAAGGCAACCCGGCATCAGTGACCGTCAAACTGCAGTAGACCTTCAGTCCTCCCAAGGCACATGTGTCGTTTCCTTTGAGCCATGGAGAACTTGTACCCGCTGGGAACGTGGAACACCATATTTCTCTCTGTATCATGTTCTAGCTGAAGCTGTGGCCTCATTTCAAAGGCCCACATTGGCATATATAGATAAACGAATGTAATCTTCATTCTGCATCGCCTTGCAAATGCCTAAGTTACTTAAGACTTATTCAAACCTACCACTGATGGAGCGGCGGCTACTGAGGCAACAATAGCGAGAAGAGCGTAGAGAAGGTACATCTGAAATAAAGAAACTCGAAGTAGCTACACGGTTCATTCAGCTGTGATAGTTGAATAGGGTAGGGTGCATCCGAGAAAGCTCTGACTGGAGGAGACCTTCAAAGGATCCTTTCTTCTTGCTAAATTTCGCCTTCTTCGGGTCATGGGATCCTCCTTTTTCCGTTATCCAATTTAATTTATTCAATTTAATTAATTTGATTTAATTTTGTTCTCCTTCAATTTACAGTGCACAAGTGATCTTTCCAAATGGCAGAATTCATTCTAAATACATCCATAACGAAAACAAAAACGTTTTTTCTGCGAATTCCTAGCAAGGAGAGGTCGTGATGAGGGAATCTGTTTAAAGTGACAACCTTAATATGTAGAGCGACTACTGGGTATCCGTCGAGGTAGAGGTAATTCAGGTGATCCCTTTCGTTGAATTTTTCAAATAATCCAATGTGCACCTGAAGAAATCTACATCGAACCAAGAAACTTCTAGTGGCCCCTAAAAACACACCAACACGGCATCCCTTCCTAGACATCTAAACGCCTCCCTCCCCTATCGAGGGCTCCCAGACTGAAAAGAACACTAGAGAGAAGGCTTCTTTAGGTTCATAGCGCCAGCAGGCACCGTCAGAAGTGGCATTGATGTAAGCAAACTGGAGGGGGTGGGGTATGGAATTAGTGAGCGAAATGATTTTGGCCATCAGCTGTTCTCTTTTATATTGCAATAAACCGTGAATCTAGCCTACACGTCACCACATAGAAATATCTAGAACAAAAACGCGCAAAGTTTCGAAAAAAACCTAACTTTTACCAAAATAATTGTCCATGGATGACGATAGAAATTTATTTGAACAGCAGTCTGAATTAAAAACTTCGCAATTCGGTCGAGTGATGAAATGTGGATCCATGTCGACAAAAAAACGAATAAAACGAAGAATTTGGCGCTCTTAAACCCACCAGATGTTCTACTTCCAGTCATAATCATGAAAGTATCATGAATGTGATAAAGCTTTTTCAGATGAATTCAGGCTTTCAGCTCATGGACAATTGAGCGTTTATACTGCTACGCAGATCTGCTACGACGATGACACTATGTACAAAGCCTGCTTTATCTGGGCAATATTCCATACGGGATATGACTAGGATCAAGCGTCAGTTGCGCACTTCTCAACGGGGGTCGTATATGAGTTTTCGGATAGGAGTCGTATTTGAGGTTGATGACGGAACGTGTTAGGTGTTTCTAGGACCGTATAGTATAAAAACGTCTGTGACGATAAGTGTGGTGGTCCTGAGTAGTGAGGGGGTCG